AAGTATATGACATTGTAAGGACAGAAGGTTGTTTTGAATCACCCTGTATATTTACTCGTGTGATGTGTAGAAGGAACTGTTGATATATTCAAGAATTCCGTTGGAATCGCCCAATCTTAATTTTCTTCGAGTTTTTGGAGAAAAGCCTAATAACGGTGTTTGCCAAGAACTCTGATAACATGATGCTTGAAAATGTATGGAACATATGCGAGCTGCAAAAGTATATATTATATGTTTAAATAGTAAAAATGTCATTAAAAAAACTTATAAATTTACTCTTAGTTCTATTTTTAAATTATAAAATTTATAACATACCATGTTTCATGTTGATATTATTCACACGGGACGTTTCTAACCATATTTTTCTGTATTTCTCATTTTTGGGAAATGAAAAAAATCTTATTGATTTATATTTTATTCGCTGGTCACTGCGACTTTTGCAACCTTTCACACAACACGTCGGCATCTTTAATATTAATAATGTTAAAGATGTGCGCTTATATCGTTGAAAAATGGCGGAAATTAAGGCCTGCGCATTGCTATGCGTAAACTCGTCCTAGTTACGAGCACATCATGTCTACTTGCATCATGGTCCAGTCTATATGTCTATGATCGCGACGAGTCAGTCGCGTCGTAGCTGCCGACTCGTGCGGCTCTTTTCTAGTACTGTAAGATTGTCATTAAAGTATATACATATATTATTCAAGAGTATTCAGTGATTGACAGCCCCAGTAGATACACCACAGGGAATATATTTGTAAATCTTTTTATTAATTTTCTATGCTATTTATATTTCTTAAGTTTTTTTTTGATAACATTTTTTATTAATATTATCAAAAACTGTTTATACATCCATTTGACTCGGACATAATAATATTATTGAATTATGTGTACATTATTGTTAATAACATAATGGAAATATATTGCATTGAGCATGCATATCGACTGCTAACAATAAATATATGATATTATTTTGTAATGTAGACATAGAGGATGTTTTTGTTGCACACTTAAATTCTTTTAAATTGTTATTTTATTATTTTCAAATAACAAAAATCGTTTAAATATAATTTCTTTTTTTGTTTTGTTTTATATATATAGTATATACACAACATTTTAAAAATTTGCGTACTTTTATAAGTGAGTCTTGATAATAATATTTTGTTATTTTAAAATACTTAAAATAATCTTGATTACAGTGATAACTCGCTTGTATGTAATTCGTATGTAATTCTATTTTAATATTCTAATGTGTATTTTAATTAAAAATAAAAAATTTTTCTATATGGTGTAATTACACACACATGTTCCTGTTATACAGGGTGATTCAGAAATACTTGTACATATTTTGGGGGTGAGTTCCACACAAAAACAAGAAGAGAATGTCATATAAACATATATCCGGAAATGCCTTGTTTATCAGTTATATAATCGAAAGATTACATTCAATTAATTTACTATGGCCTGACCTAAATCCATTACATTTTTATCTGTGGAAACACTTAAAAGCCCTAATTTATGTAATTGAAATTGCAAATAAAGAGACGCTTCTCCAACGCATCATAGATGCCTGCGAAATCATTCGCAATCATTATGGGATCTTTGAAAAGGTGCGACATTCCATGATCCAATGTGTCTATGCGTGCATTGGAAGATACATGCGAAGCAAGTGGAAGATATTTTGAGCATTTATATTGTGAATTGTGAATAGATAAACTATTGAACTGAAAATGTATTACATTGGTCATGTGTCATTATAAATATATTCTACCAGTTTTTGTCGTTGAAATCTTTCAATTATAATTCATAAACCGGGCATTACCGGACATAGTATGTTATTTTTTCCTTATTTATATATGGAAAACCCACTCCGAAAGTTTGTACAAGTATTTTTGAGTCGCCTTATACATATACATAATATTGCTGTTTAGTGAAATTGTTGTAGGCTAATAAACATAATGCAGAATAATAAACATATCTTTTTTTCCATAGTCCGCGATATTGCTGCGATTATTAGATACTTGATCACGAGGCTATTGTAAGATGAAATCAAGTTTAGTAAATTCTATGGGTCAATAAGTTGACGATTCCTCTATGAAAATGCCTCTATGTCTCTCGTTTTGGTGCTACATGCTTTTATTCATCACTCTATCATCAGAGTCTCAATTAAAGTTGATAAGCAAGATTGATGAGCAGGATGACAATTCGACGGTGCAATATCAACTTGGCGCAAACACCGTGACAAACTATGACAACGAGAAAGATTTAATACGGTATAATTCGAACGAAAATTCAATCAAAGATAACGGTGATATGCAGTACGCATATCGCATCAATTCGACGAGAAACTACCACGAGAATGACGACGAATACTATCAACCCATCTTCTTTAGTGGTCGCATGGGATTTCCGATGATAAATCACATAAGATATCCGATGATAAATCACTTGATACATCCTGAACTTCAAGTGGACGTTGAAAAAAATTATAAGAATGCCATGTCACAGAAAATGCTTGAAAACTTTGAAAGGACCAAGGGCAAAAACGGTTCTGCGTCACACGATTTCTTTAAACATTTCAATAGAGATAACGATAAAAACAATATTGTATCGTATAAAATGTGTGAAAACATTACTTGCATTCGGTTCTGCTGTCCTTTCGGTGATCGCCTGGTTGACGGAAAATGCCTTGCCAAACAGGATGACTTTATTCATCTGCAAAACATGTATGGATACATTGATGAATCGTTGCAAAATGGAAATGAAAGAATAAACGAACTATTTCTTCTGGTTGTTCACGATCCGTGTCAGAAGACTAAACACGATTTGATTATGCCATTTTATAAGAAAGAGTTTCTCATCGATGGCTCTTTGTATCTAGCGTCTGATCAGATAATCGTTGAATCAACATCCTATTGTTTCGCTGTAGTGGAACAAAATATATTTGCTGTTAAAGTTTGCCCTAGGATTATAGAAAGGATCATGGATAACAATTACAAAAACCGCAATAAAAGTGCGATTATTCCGATTAGTACAAATAAAGAGTTGAAGAAAATTAGAGACAAGAACGATTCTATGTCGTACAATTCTTTTAAAAATTTTAATAAAGATAACAATAAAAACACTATTATACCGTACAAAATGTGCGAAAACATTACTTGCATTTTTTTATGCTGTCCTTTCGATAAACTCTTGGTCGACAAAAAATGCATTGACGGACAGGATAATTTTATTTTCCTGCAAAACATGTATAAATATATCAATGATTCGTTGCAAAAAGGAAATGAAGGAGAAAACGAACTATTTCTTCTGGTTGTTCACGATCCGTGTCAGAAGTCTGGACATTATACACTTAATTCTTTAAAGAGAGTGCTTCTCGTCAACGGCTCTTTGTACCTACCTGATAACAACACAATCGTCGAATCAACATCTTATTGCTTCGCTAACGTAGATGATCAATTTGATATGGACGGATTTGGTGTTTACGGATTAACTGTGAAAGTTTGCTTTGAAAATATAAGGATTGTGAACAAGACATTTGAAAAAATAAATTTCTTGGAGACTGAACTAATTATATATATATGCAGTCTAATAGGGGTTATATTGTGTTTGTTGATGACGTTCGTAGTATACTCCACAATACCAGAACTCCGTAATATACACGGCTATATACTGTGTAGCTACAGCGGCTCATTAATCGTCGCGTACACGGTCGAATTAAAGTACACGCTAGTCACAAGAGATGCTATAGGAGACTCTATCTGTATCGCATATGGTATATCATATAATACTCAAATTACATAACATCATAATTAATATACAGCGTCTAAATCTGTTAGGATTATTAGTGTATACTGACGAATTAATATTTTTTGATAACTTTAATATGTAGTTTCTAATTTATAACTTTAAAAACACAAGAGTTTACAGTTAATAAAATAGTTAATAAAATTAAAATTTATGATGCTCATTAACATCAAGTTAAAATATTCTATGTATTTCTTATATTATTAAAATTTTGCGGAATTATGTCTTCAATTAAAAACAAATTAACTAATAAAGGCTCTTATGAATATATCATACAAAAGATATAAAAGGCAATCAAGAGCCAGCGCGGTAATTTGTGCGCATATGTTTTATTACAATCAAATTACATCCCTGACCGGAGCATGTCTCGTGCTCCGCTCGTCAGCTGTCTCGTCAGCTGCTTACTCAGCTTCCGAGAACTTGACCGTGACTTCCTTCTCTTTAGTCACGTATCTTTACTTTATTTTATTAATAATCTTTTATTACTTTTATTCTTTCTTGATTACTTTTCCTTGAGTTCTTTCCCTGATTCTAATGCTTTGCTTTAATCAGCTCTTTCTCTGTTCTATCTGTTCTACTTTACTTGTTTTATCTTTTAATATATTTAGAGATTGGTCGGGTCACGACAGAACCATTCTCCCAATTACAAAATATATGAAATATATTATATCAAAAATGTAATAGTAATAATACGCAGAACAAGAATGAATCACCCATGTTGTCAGATGATAAATGTTGTATAATGTAATTTCGAGACAGAAAGAGACTGTCCGATAAAATATACTACATTAAAAAATAACTGGCAATATATAATTATACCGAATTTGAGTGAGTCACCCATGTTGTACAGAAGGCAAATGTTACACACGGATGTTCGAGACAGAAATCGACATTATATATTTTATCGGACAGTCTTTTTCTGTCTCGAAATTACATTATGTAACATTTACCATCTGACAACATGAGTGACTCACTCTTGTCGGCAATCAAGAGCCAGCGCGGTAATTTGTGCGCATATGTTTTATTACAATCAAATTACATTGATATTTTAACTACGTGATAGACAAAATCACAACAAGCGTATGTTTCGGTCCTTTTTTTGAACTGTTGTGCCTCTAGCCGCTAAGGAAGAGGTCTTTAGGGATTTATACGCCCAACGGATTAGGATCCACGCTCGAAATAAGACACTCCCGGACGTTAGGTATAAATTGATATATTTCACAGATTCTTGTACACTTTCACTTAGTCGCGATTATAATAGTCGGGCGCGATACGTACGGTATATCGATACTGTTGATATGAGCGAGCGAGTAGCGAGCGATGTTAATGAGCTATATTACTGAGCTATGTTACTGAGCTATGTTACTGAGCTAGCGTCGGTGCATCTCGCGCTCAATATAT